ATTAACTTATGGAATACATACACTAAACTAATCATGCAGATAACTTACTAAAATTCCATAATAAAAATTAAAGTTATCATAGAATCCCACAACTACACCTAACCAAAAACACAGTCAAAAATCCCGAAACAAATAAAAGACTCAAGAAATAACTTAAAATAAAACTGTCCATTATAAAACATCCAATTCATTCTTGACCTACCGACTGACTGACTTACATGATCAGAGACGTGCGTGATTTCCTCTTTGTTACCGCAGAGGAAACAAAAGAAATTGTAGCAAATGATGACTTACATATTTATGCACGCGATCTCATACACGAGGAAGCTGATGTGAGTCAGGTATCACTGGTAGCTTAGAACGGAGACACGGACTAGTGCATGGATTAATTTTGTAAAGTAATTATTGATTAGCAGCAGTAATTAGATGTGGAGGATTATTAAACTGTAGGCTACTTGCTTGTAGTTAGTAAGTAGGTGAATGATATTAGTTATTAATTAGTTTATGAGACCATTGTTAGGCACTTTTGAACGACAAAATAAGATTTAAGACAAAAAATTTCAATTTGCCGGTCAGTCCCATAGAAAAGCCACATAAGTGTAGATTCTGATGGTGAAGAATAATAAAAATAAGTTTGTGACTTGGTTTTCTTGTCGTATAATTATTATAAATCATCAAACAATGAAATTATAAAAAATGATCAAATGAACAATGAATCTAGTGCGCTTTTACATCAACAGTTGCATCACTCCTTACCATCAGGTGGGATTGCAGTCAATTACTAGTTAACATGATTTTTAAAAAAAGAACGATAATTTGACCACCCGCATTTGACCCCCTCCCCTCTCGGATGATAAAGAAAATAAATTGTAAAGTAAGAGGCCAATCAACGATATTTTTGACATCAACCAAATTATTTTGTTTTTGCGTTCAACAGGAAGAGTAAAAGTAATTTCTCCTTTTCACTTATTTCCTCTAGAATTCCAAAAAACTAGATCACGGTGTCACCGTATGTGTAATTTCGAATACCTGTGCAGTATCCGAGTCGTCACTGCATTCGTGATTTGTATTTTAAATAAGATCTACCTGTATTTTCATTTAACGGTATCTAAATGTAAATTTGTTTGCAGTTTAAATAATTATATTAAATTCCTTGTCAATTAGCGCCAATCAGCGCCGCCCATTAACATTTAGGATAAGGGTTTCGAATATTTAAGGATTGGGAGGGGATGATAGGAGAGAAAGGGATTGGGCCTCCAGTAACCTCACCCACTAGGAGAAACCCAACGCTGTAGTTGTTTCACGCTCGTTTTTTTTGTGAGGACGTGGAATCACTTCCGTCGAGCCGACCCATTTGTGCTGAAGTTTGACTCACCCACACTAGCGAAGCTCATTCTGATTAATATTAAAAATCCCTCTGTTCTTTCCTGGCATTATTTTGCTCATAGATTTATGCATATTCAAAAGCTTTGATATTGCACAGGTCCTAAAAATGTGTATAGAAAACTACAACGTGTAGCGTATCAGACGCAAAAATCGGTTTTTTTATCTACTACATTTAGAAACAACAGTCGTGTCTGCATCTTTATCTTTATCAAAAACAGCATTTAACTTTGCAGAAATATCACTTTCTTTTAACCGAATTATTTCTTCTACAACTCCAAAATCGAGACCACCGTGGCTCGTGGCACTACGTGTGAATCCAAATACCAGCGTATCGCTGACGTGCCTGCATTAAGTATTTATGTCTTGTCTTCTACAAACGCACGCTTTTAGAAATTGAAAGCTATTGTTTTACGGGCCATTGTTTTGTTTGCATCTACACTTTCTGTTTAACTTCTGTTGTTAATAACATTATATTATATGGTTGCTACGGTAACGGTGAGAACTTTACTATCGTGCGATAGTTCTTGTACTCATCAACTAATTAGGTTTGTGGGTGGTAGATCTATTTTGGGTGTTCTTCCAGTAAACAAATATTTTGTTAGGATAAATTATCAAATATGTTATTAATCAAACTCTTATAACTCATTATTTGTTTCTGCCAGTACCTTCGCCCGGAGCAGCAGGGTAACAACCATGCATCTATCCGTCCATCCATGTATATTTATTAACTTTTTTGTTGATAATATTTTTATATTTTTGGCATACATAGCATTATGAAAATAACTAAGAATATAATATTGTAGATATTCTGTGGTTGTTGCTTACCAATTAGGGATTAATTCACTTTGTAAGTTCTTGCCACTTATGAACAAATTTTAGTCACATCCACAATATCTTACACTATGATATAAAACTATTCTAGAAAGCTTCCAGTTGTTAGCATTGCAGTTATAGAATCAGACAAACGGACCAAATGTAAGACATGCGTTCTAATGTTTAAACGGTTCTCACGTAACCTGATTACGTTGAAAAATGATAAACTGATAAATTAAAATGTTTTGGCTATTTTCTGATTGATTTAATGGATAATGTTGTCGTGTGTCATCCACAATTTGTATAAAAAAAATGTTAACTTACAGTAAATACAATTATAAAAACACAGAAACGTTGAAGTTCGGATATGAATGATTGTCTTGGATCTCACATTGAAATAAATGAGAAGATATTATTTGGGGAGACGAAAAAAAAGGAAAGGGTTCGGGCCTCCGGTAACATTAGTTACGCAGGAACACAATGCAAGTATTGTTTTTCTGAGGAGGCCGTGGTATCACTTCGGGCAAATTGGCCCATATGTGCCAAAGCATGGTTCTCCTACACTTGATGATGTTGAAGATGAAAATAAAAAGCATTATTATGTGTATTTACCAGAAGTGTCCAGATACGCACTCGTCACGCTTTTTAATTACAGGTTAAGTAAAATTCCAAATTAGTTAACTCGTTCCTCGTTATAAATGCGTAATAATGAGGCTTTCACTCTTAAACTGTAATATCACTAATTTTTAAAAAGGTTGTGGTCTGTTGGTTTATTTGAACCACTTTTGTAGGGCTTGGGATTGAACTATCAGAAATATTATTGGCTGGCTGAGCTCAGTGGAACACAATTGGACAAGTCCAAAAGTGTAAAGGTAGAAGAGTAGATGCTACATTGTCATGTAAATTGCCAAACACTGGGTAAAACCTGAGCTTCGTACTTGTTTCTGAGGATTATTTAAAAAACCGAATACAAGCAAACGAGGTAGGTAGCGAATCACCCCTGATAGTAGTAATAACAGCCCATGGATACCCGCAACACCAGAGAAGCTACTGAGTTGCAGGCCTTTTATGGTTTCTAGGAATTTGAGATGGGGAAATGGCCTTTGCCTCCTTGAACCATATTCATGTAGCAAACCAGAAAAATTCACACATAGATAATATAGTACCTACTTCCTACTATTTCAATTCTGAAACCCTAACAAGATGCAATTCATCCACTATTAAACAATTTTTAGAAACAAACAAATTTAGTCCTTTTCAAACTTACAATTTAAGTGTAATTTAGGCCATCAAGAATGTTACTGCGTTTAATGATATCAACGGTCTGGTCGTGTGCTAGGTCATAGCTAAAGAATGTCTCTGACCCAAAGAGACTAGTGCTTGATAAGCATACCTAGACTCTGTTATAGGTTTACTGGTTTATACAAGAAATTAAAATGAAAGTTGGAATGCGATTTTGGTATAGGGGAGATCTTTACTAGATTATAGGGGAAAACATCTGTATAATTAACGTGCTTAATATAGTATTTTCTTTAAACATTACGCGTAGTATGGATGTGTCGGATCAAGCAGTGTAAAGTACTCAAGAGCGAATGATACCAGGAAAGGCGTTATACCCTATTCTGTCATTGACAGAACATCCCATCATAAATAGGCGGCCTTCAAAGTTTTAATGATAATCCCTGTCTGGCACCATATCAGGAATTACACTGAATTACCACCAGTTTTCTTTCACAGCTTGATTTTTGCAGCTGAGGTGGTAAATGTTCATAGAGCACCCAAGCGGTAGACGAAAACGATCATCCTCAAGCCTGCTAAAAGGTGCATGAATCATTCTTGGTCTTGGAATATCGCAAATGCTTGCTTTTCAAACATCGCTCAGTATTGTGTACACCGTTGTTAATAAGTCAAAAACATTGTTTCGATGTTACAGAATGATGCTATTTTGTAAGATTAGAGTTAACTTTTCAAATAATACTCTGTTGTGATACAAAATTAAATTCAGAAACTTAAAAAAAGGTTTTATTTTGTTTGGCTACTGTAAGGTTATTATTTAATATTGTTATACTGCTATCTTGTCACTTTATTATATTTTAGGTAGCTTCGTTGTAAAAATAAAACAAGGGTAAAATAATACGTATGAGGCAAATAACACACAATATTTTAAAACAACTGTTATATTTAGTTTATTTGGGTGGTTCATAATAAATTATAACAGCTAAAGGGAAGAAGAAAGATTTGTACACATAAAGACATCACCTAAGAGACATATACGTACATATATACACTACTATAGAATATATATATTATATACATAATAATATAATAACAAACGAAGATGCAAACAATAATATTTTACTTATATACATCGATATGAAAAATATTTACAAAAGCTATATAAAGAAATAGGAAAAAGAAGAAAATAAAGATCGACTAGTTAGAGATGAACACATAAACAATGATACTAAAATAAAGGCCTACATGGCTCAGCCAGTGGGTAGAGGTGAACAAAAAATAATAATTAAAGCTATTGATATCGTAAATACATTTGTACTTTAAGAAAATTATACTAATAAACACAGGTACGATGTAGATGTAATAAAGACAGATAATAACAAGAATTAAAAAGGAAATGGCGATGCTAATGAAACAATTCGAGACAAGATTCACTCGTTCAACATTTAACAATAAATAATTTAAATAAATTATTAAATTAATAAATTAAAATCGTTACTTTGAGGTCCAAACTAAACTACACGAAGATTTACCATGGCCCTTGGGACTTAGATTTATCTTAGGTATTAGTTGGAGTAGGCGTTGTAGGCCAAGGACTGGGCGTCTTGGGAAGACCTGCCCCATCCACCGTGGCCACCACCACCGTGGCTGAAGTGCTCTTCATGGTGTGGGTGAGCTACGACCTCGTAGCTTTCATGGTGTTCGCTCTTGGAGAGCAGCTTCTTAAGGAGGACCAGAGCAGAGGCGAGGAGGGCAGCCTTGGCGAGCATCAGACCCTTGATAGCGGCGAAGGCGATGATACCGAGGAACAGAGGGATGAGGGACTGGATCTTCAGCTGGAGGAGGGCGAGGATGGGGAGGAGCTGCTTCAGCTTCTTCTTCTTGCCACGGCCTGCAAAAACGAAGATATCTTATAGAATACCGCCATTGCACAAAATGTTTGCGAAAATCTTTAAAGTGAATGAAGTTTTGAAAATAAATTTCAAAGCAACTAATAGTTTTTCACATCTGGTAAACAAGTAAATGAGGATATAAGATCAATAAAAGAAACCGACGTAATGCAAAAGATTGTTATCTTAAGAGAACATTATCAGAGAACGTTTAATATCAATGTCACCGCTGGTATAAAGTTAATAAATTTTAATTAACTCCATACACTTTCTAGTTACTGTAAACTGTATGTACCTGCACTCGGTCGAGTAAGAAAAGGTGTGTTTGTAGGCAAACCCGCAATTTGAATTTAAAATAGACCCGTGCCCAGTTTAGATAATTTACTATTTAAGTTCAAATGTTAATCGACAATGGAAACTTCATTAAGATTCAATGTCCTTCACAACTGAAATTGTAATTCGCCATGTAACATCAGGTTTGCATAACCCCATTCACCTAGAAAGTGTTTGGTTGGTACCAATTCGAAAGCTTCAAGCCTACATCCATATTTCGTTAGCAAGATTACGCCTGGAGCGTTACTTTTACTCGCTGCTTGATAGAGATTTCGATCGCGGACCTCTTAGCGGATCTTTATAACTAGTTGAGCCTACATAGTAACGTTTGCTATGGACATCTAGCAAAAACCAGAAACAGTTCGTCCGCTTTCCACGATAATCAACCTTGTTAATAGGTTAGAGAAACCCTCCCGAGACTAGTTTGGACGTTTTCTATCTTCTTATGGTCTGTTCCGGATGTCCGTTTTAAATTTTCTATATTTCGTAATGTACCTGTCTTAGTTTCGGTATTAATTGTCCAGTCATGTGTAACATCAGATTAATTTTTGATCGTACTTTCTATTTTAAAAATTCTCAGCGACCCAAACAGGTTTTTGGCGCGTTTTAATTTATTTGGCGAGAGTTATGCAGGGAATTATATATGAACTTGACTGCAAGGTTTTATATAACTACTTTTTACTTTTATGATGTTACTTCTCCAGTCTATGTCGTGACTTGTTTAATTCGAAATATGATTCTGAGCTCTGGTCATGGTTTTCTCTACGACAATGACTAGCGTTTTGAGAATCTATTATTTTTTATAGATATTATCAAAACTTACAGTAAACCAGTTTAATGATAGCGAGAATGAGTTCTTATATAATATTGAGTTATCATAATCTCTGTAACGAATTGCCAGAACAAACTGTTTTAAACAACTGACAATGAGCCGTGAAATTGTTTGGTTTTGTCAATAAACTAATGAACAAACTATTGTTTTACAATGATGATGAGATTTTGATTAACCTTCTGAGAGAAATGTTTGCCCTTTTAACAAGGATGCTTTGTACATATTTTGGGAACAGTTCGTGATTATCTTTCTCATACACTTTCACTTGTTTCGTTGAAATAATTTGATCGCTTACAAGAATTGCACCTTAATGATATGGTAGAATTTAAATACAGGTTCCACGGCGATAAATCCGTGCCTTTTTGTGTGAGCATCGTAATTGGGCATGACACGTATAATTATTTTTGTTATGTGAGAAAAAATTGCATGCGAGTTATTTTTATGGGCTGTCTATTTAGAAGGTTTAAGCATTTTTTCTTTTAATTCTATTTAAATAGCTATATTTTTTTCTCCATGAAGTACATATTATCTTTTGAATTAGTTTAATTTGTCTAAGAATTATTTTCAAGTCCGCTTCAAAAGTCGGACGAGTGCTTTCAATATTATGATCTGACCACATAAGATTTCTTAAATATCAATCTTGTGGTTACTCAATGACTTTAGTTGTTAGCAATTCTCCTTGCTGACTTTGAGAGATATAATTTAATATAGGTGATACTGACCTTCCTCAAGGGACCTCTTCATGTCCTCGACAGTGCTCTTGGGCATACGCAGCTGGATGACATGGTTTTCCATGAAGTCAGCAGCAGCATCGACTAGCCTAGCCTCAACTTGGTTCTCCCTAGCTTGAGGTTCTTCAGGAAGGGGTTCGTAGGACCTAGCTGAACGAGAAGTGCCGACATTGTAGATCGCGAGGCCATCAGCCAGTTTAAGTTCCCGCGCTGAGGCCGCGTTTTCTAGGAATCTCATCGATCTTTCCTGTGGGAAGAAAAAAAAATATAGTTATAGATTTTGCGAGCAGAGATCTTAATCTTGATTGTTTTTTTCTATCACTGATAGTGTTAATTGGTATATTAGTGTTGTTTGGCTACAAAGAACTTAGAAGCTTTAACAAAGTTGCAAGTGCTAATATCTCGACCATTAAGTTGGTGTCAAATTGCTCAGCAAATATTTGCAGTTTAGCAAGTCATTGAGACGAAAGTGCAAAATCATGCACTTGTTATGTAGTTTAAACATTATGTGATGATTTGCAACTACATATTAAATGCAATTATGAATGAAATGATCTAGAAAATAACTAAAGTAAGACAGTTTGTTCTGATTTAATCTGTAAGTTGTAGAAATAAATCTTTTATTAAAAAATTGAGAATCTTTTTCAAAATTATAATTGAGGCTAAAACTTTATTGGCGTGATTAAAAATAATTAAAGACTTAGATTTTTTTATTAGTCATAAAATGTGAAAAAAATATTTTTATCAAAGTTAATTGAATAGATTTGATTTGAGCGGTTTCTTGTTTTGGAAGTAGCACAAATTGAATGAATTAAATAACATCTGATGATTAAAAATTAAAAATTGGGTTCAGAAATATGGAGAAGTCTTTGGTTATTAAAGAAAAGATAAGAAGTTGAATAAAAAAATTAAAAAATGACTGAAGATAAAACAGGAGATGGAAGATTTTGATGAAGCTGATGAAAGCTTAAGTCCAAAGGACATCACTAAAACACCATCACAAGGAACACACCTTAATGCACATCCAGACATCTTCTTCGGCACAACTCTTGACCACTCCGACGACGTTGCTGAGGACGTCATCCTCAGATGTAGCTGGCTTGCAGTACACTGCTACCACACACACTAAGAATACAAGGAAGGTCTTCATTTTTTTGGTCCTACACTCCTTCGAGGTGGTTAGTGAAATGTGGTGAGGGACCTGACAGAAAGCGGTTTTATTCTACGGCCCCCCACTGCGGGGTTTGAGCCGAAATGCGCAAGCCTGATGCGTGTTACGAATGTTATAGAAGCGAATACAGGTGGAACACTTTTTTTTTATATCATGGTGATGATTATGTTGCAGGGTAGATTGATTTTTATGGGTCCTGTTTTATGCCATGGTTTTAATTATTAAAGGTTTTTTTTATTAATATTTCTTCCTTATTGTAAAAATCACAATACACAATGTAAAGACAAATTGTTGAGATAGTAATGTTAACAAAATTAATTATTGAGAAGGTGAAAACGTTGGTAGTGTCTATATAGTACAAAAGGGTCATAAAGGAAAAAGTTTGATCGTTTGAAGTTTTGCCGCAAGTACATATATTATAATCAGCAGACGGTGATGCAATAATATACGTAACATACATAATATACATATTAATCGATATCATTATACGAGTAAAATTTTAAATGAAATCAGTCTTTCAACTTTGATTTTATCATATTGTTAATATTCAAGTGTTTCTTCGACTTGAACTAAATCTTGTATATCCTGTGTTTATGTTGACCTATTAAAACGATATTGCTTTTTATTTCTATTTTCTATTAACATTCTAGTTTCTATAATATCATCAATGGTTGCTCATATAGCATACGTTGTATCGAGGGCACAACCAGTTCCTTTAAGCCAAGCAGGTCCAACCAAGGTCAAGGTACTAGGATGAAACTACGTTAGGGAAAGTGCATTACCTAAATCAAAAGTTTTTCTTTTTAAAATATTACTTGAATTAAACGTAAACACGCATAAATTATTATTTATAATAATATGTTGTATACTTTCTTTTAGTTTAGATGCGAAACTAAATGTATGTGTATTAAAATTAATATCTCTTTTAGTAGATATGGTTTCTTATACAACCGTCACGGTAGTTGCTTTTAAAGGGTTGAGTTTTCGTTGATCTTTTTTTTTGATCAAGTGTTTCATAATTAGATGCTATTTACTCTCACATAAATAGCATTTTATATTTAACTTTATGTAAAGATATTTAGACACCTTATTTTGCCTGCTGTAAATGTTTAATATTATTAAAACACCGAGCATCTCTTATAGGTCAACGTACGTCTAAAAATATCTCTTCATTCTTCTTTGCAATATGGGGTATAGATTTATCAACTTCTGCTATGAAAAACCATAATTACTTTATGATAATTATATCTCTACCATTATATTTTTTCAAAGCACAATTTGAAATCAAGTTGGCAGATCTCCAATTAGCAACTCAAAGCTAATGACATATCGACAGTCAATCCAAAGCCTACTAAAACGGCTGATAATTATGATTATTTAAGTGTTTGTCTGGTTAGAAACTTCGTGGTGTATGTGGGGCAAGTCGGCAAGTCTAAGCGTTTGTTAGACGCACAAGATTGAGGGCTGTAGGTTGATATGTGATCAGTCATTTTAATTTTGTGATACGTGCTGGTGTAACTGAGGTTTGGTTCGTTACATTCTAGTAGCTTACAGTCAAACTTCATTACAAAATCCTGCAGATAGAATATCTAATTTTCGGTCGTGTTTCTTCAGGACAGTTTAAAGTTCACAACAAGCTATTGATACCAGATTTTTTATAATAGTCGCACTAAAACTGCTTTCTTTTGCATCGGTCATAAGACCGAAGAATGAACCGAAGAATGATAACATTGACATCGGTCTATTCTGTAGTACGCAAGTAAGGTAACAGTGAGATCGATTAAAAAATGTACTGTCTTAAATTTAAGAGGCTAAGCAATAAAAAAAACAATGTTTCATAAGTACTAAACACTCTAGACACATTTTTTTAACTTCCTCATCCTCTGATTGACTGACTAAAACTCTGTCCTGACTGGAGTGTCAGTCAGTCAATTAGTTGAAGATATCTCCTAAATTTTTTCCCAAAATTTTACAACACAAAATTACATTCTCTATAAAAAAATTACTGAAGTCTTGTTAACAATCAGCATCTTATTGTTTGTTTGTGATGCTGATGACGATGAAGACAGTGATCAAGTCCAACATATTGAAATCAGTAGCCAAGGGATTAATAAAAATATCGATAGTAGTAAATATGTTGTTCAAATTGCTAATTGCAGACTGCACAGTGTCGTGTAACGTATTGCGCGTCCGAGTCTCGATAAGAACAACTCTTTGTGTGATCTACAAATTGTTGTATTGCACCTGAATGTAGTATGTATATGACAGTGTATGTTTGTAAACGCATGACACAAGTGGAAATCCTAGTGTGGGTTAAAGTTGAGCCAACCTCGAATTTGAATGGTGGTAAAACATATTCTTCCAGGAAATCCTTCATAGTTAGTTTTATCATCATCATCAACAACATCATTGTCGTTAAAAAACAACTTCTTCTTACCCTTAACTCTCTCGCTCCTCACATAACATTTCCGATTTCGAAACTGCATAAATTTCTCAAACTACTGTTATCAATTAATTTAAACACACTGTTTCTTTTTACAAAATAAATGTATGAGTTGGTCCATCTCAATAGTTTCATTATAAAAAGCTTGATTATGTAGATGATTTCTAAAAAAAGTGATAGTGTTTACTAGATCGCTATTTTGGACCAATTATGAATGGTTTGTTTAATAGCTGTTGTAGGTTTGACTATTACAATGTAAATGGTGAATGAAGTAACTGTTATGTAATAGAGAACCATTTGGTTTTAATGAATTACTGTTTTAATGTGTTTCGTTGTTTGGTACAATGAACTCTTTAAAATGTAGTAGTAAAGTTTTTTTTCTTTTTTAAACTAAACTTCTAGGTGGTATGCTCTTGATCTTCAACATCATCACTTACTTCAGCTATTTATTACGTCTATACCGGGGAGGCTAGCTATAGTCTAGCTCATTCACAGTAAATGCCTCCGAGTAATTTCTTTGTCAATTCTTTTCTTGACTCGCTCCTTATTAACCACCTTTACTGTATCTTCCACTACTTAACCTACTCACTTATAAAAGTAAACAATAAAGGGCTCATTAATATACTTCGCTTCAATCAACATATTCATTCACTTTTCAAATTGTAAAGAAAACGAAATTGTACCAACGTATGCGTTTTATGGGTCACGTTTTGTGAATTGTCTGTTACGATTTCAAGTCTTTGAAGTCGGTGGCAGATTTTGTACACGCAACGTCATAAGTGGATAATTGAAATAAATACGTACATTTATTTCTTTTTGTACTTTCTTTCAACTTGTCTTGTTTGTTGAATAGTCAAGATCAACTGTTAAATTTGTAGGTTTAGTTTCTTGAAGTATTGTATCATTGTATGGTGGGATTTGGTTTAGATTTTTGATTTTATGTTATTATTTTGAATCGTTTGTTGCTTTATAAGACAGTACCTACATATCTATTCGTCATGTTATCATGTCCTTTAACTGTCTGATAACGTCCTTATTGGTTGATTTTCATCTGTATATCCTCTTATTCTTCTTTCATATCGGTTAGACTTATAAACTCTTACTTTGTGTCAGTTAATAAATTTTTATCTAATTAAATATCAGGTCTATCAACTTTCTTTATACTTCCTTCTTCAAGGCAAAAGAAAGCCTATACAAGGCGTACCTAAGCCACAAGGCGGATGCCTTTTTAATACCCAAATTACTCTGATTACCCCCTAAGGCAATACAACCGTAAAGTTATAGAAATATGTACTTTTTATGATTTCTAAAATTGCATAATCGTGCAGGTGTTTGAAGCGTATATTTTAATTCGTACTATGTTCTCGCGTGAACACTTTTTATGTAATATCCGGTACAGCACGGCTTCTGTGATTTCCTATATTAATTAGTCTCGTGTCTTAGATACGTCATTTATATCAACGTTTGAATCTTCGACATTCTATTTTTAGATCGCTGTGATTTATTTATGTATGTCTGTCTTTATGTTTGTCTTTCTTTTTAACTGCACTGTTATGAAATGATGCTGATGTTTTCTTGTTTTATATTTCATCATCTTCTTGAATGAAACTAGCGTATCGTTGTTAAGTAAATAAACGAGTTTATTATATCAATTTAGTTTTGAAGTTCAATGCGCTGATGCGTGTATGTAAGTTACGGGTAGCATGAACCAAATATTGTATGAATGAACTAATACGTAACAGTATATTTAATTTAAACATTAGATGCTATTACGGTTCATATTCGTAAACCAGCCGTTTTAAATCGAGAGTTTTTGATTCTCTCCTATTTATATTTAGGTGTGATAATTTGTCGTACGGTGATGACAGAGTTTGAATAAACATTTCAGTGTTATTACTTTTCCCGCTGATATCTTAAGAGCCAACATAGTAACTATAAAGAGACTTCAAAAATAAAAGAAATGAGGCAGCAATGTCTGATATCTAAACCGTTGAACCTGTAACATCTAACCAGCCATTCCAAACTCCTCTGATATAGATAAGTATAGATGAGTAGCCAGCATTGGGTTGTCGTCGAGTGTTGATGTGTAGTGAAATAAAGAAGTCAAAGGATATACTTAAATCATTATGACTCACCTAGCATCATTTGCGAAAGCCTAGCCCAGACCTGAGAATTAATAGCAGTTATAAACGAAAAAGACCTTTTACCTCTACAACAAAACCGGTAGTAACAAACCAGTAGTAAGGCTAGCCTACACAAGTGTGCCTATCTCCTATATCCGGAGAGAATTCCGAATAAGTAGGCGAATAAAATTCCAAAGTCGAACGCGAGTTCCATTGGTAATAATACGGTAGGTTACTGCATACACTTGGCAATTACGTGCTAGTTTTAAATTAAAGACCGTACTCGTGTTATTGAGTAGGAAAAATATTTGATAGATTGGTTTTGTTTTTTGCTAATATGACAGCTTAAACGTTGACCATGCTTCTAGTTCTCATCTAGGCTATGTTCTAAGATTAAAGTCTGGCAGTATTTTAAAAGTAGTAACATGTAGAAGATGATACTTTATTTTGCATTGATGATTGGCCAATTTCAAATGTTCTGTGACTTCTATTGTAAGGACATAAGAATGTTTTTGGTAACACACATATTTTTTATACGACTTACCTTCAGGTAACCCATTGGCTAGACAACCCTCGCTTCCGCTCGTGGTCACTAGTATTTTTTTTATGTGACATGTTGGCGGACGAGCAAACGGATTACCTGATGGAAAGCAATCAGCGTAGCCCATGGACACCCGCAACGTCGGAGGAGTTACAAGTGCGTTGTCCACCTTTTGGGGATTAATAATTTAGAGATTTTTGGAAAAGGAACGGATTGGAGTAGGGGAAGGATTGGGCCTCCGGTAACCTCGCTTACACGGCGAAACACAACTCGTTGGTTAATTCACCATAAGGTCATACCAAAAGTAAAGTTATTAGGGATCCAATGGGTTTTGAGGATTGAGGATGGAAGGATTAGGCCTCCGGGTCTGTGTCGCAGTGTGAGTGAGAAATCACGCTATACCAAAGAAGTCAAAAGTATGTACTCTGCCGTCAGGATAGACGATTCTTATACCTATTCTGACTTTATTTCTATTTAAAAAAGTTTAATCGTTAACCTACGTCATTTTGACGTCTTACGCTTAGCTAAAAAGTTAGCCATCAACTTTTTGCATCAATTTATTCTTATGATAAGCGCGTGCCATAATTGCGTTACAAATTGTTACGTTTTTCTATGCATGGAACAATAGTGTGACGTTTATAAAAAGAACTTCACTTTCGTTGGACGAAACAATGTGTTGTATCAAATTGTCTAATTAGTGTTGAGAGAGGAAAATTATCCCATGAATGTTGCTATAGGTAAAAATTCTCCGACACATTTTTTTGTTAGTACCGTAAAATTTATTTATTTATTTATTACTGGAAAGTTTGTGATAATTTATGGTTGGACGTTAATTATAATAATATGAGGCTGAAGAAAATATAAACTTTTTTATTAATTATGTTATTATTGTATAATAAATTTATTAGAAGCTTATCGTGACGTGAAAACTTTTCTTGTGTTATTTATAGAGTTGTGATTATAAAGAAGAAAGGTTTCCTTATTTGTTTATAGGGATAGAATAGGGTCGGCAACTATGTTCTAGACCGATTAAAAAAATTCTTTCACATTTGGAACAACTTGCGACCCACGGATGCCCCTCAGGTTGAAGGGTAAAATCTACAAGTCAGTGATAAGGTCTGTCCTACTGTATGGGTCAGAATGTTGGGCTCTGAAAAAGACGGATGAAAAGCGATTGCATGTAGCAGAGATGAGAATGCTGAAATGGATGTGTGGTGTGACGAGAATGGATAAAGTGAGAAATGGGTATATTAGAGGAAGTGGCGCCAGTGGCTGAAAAGTTGAAAGGGAACCGTTTGTCTTGGTATGGGCATGTGAAAAGGAGGGATGAAAAACATGTTACAAAAAAAGCCATGAGTTTAATGTGGATGGATGGAGAGGGGAAGGGAGACCAAAGAAAATATGGATGGAGTGTGTGAGAAGTGATATGGAAGACAGAGAAGTTAGTGATAGCGTGACGGGTGACAGGACAGAATGGAAGGAAAAAACATATTGCTCCGACTGCAAATAAAACGGGACAAGGGCAGGAAGATGATGATGATGATGATTTGAGATGCTAAAATACCCCGGTGTACACAAGCTATATAAGTTAAATTTAAAAAAATAATGTTTGGTTTATTATTAAAACCTCTCAAGTGTCGCAGAACCGTGCTTCGGCACGAATGGATCGGCTCGACTGGAGTGATACCGCAGCCTCACAGTAATCCGGCGGGGAGCAACCACAGTGTTGTGTTTCGCCGTATGATTGAGGTTATCGGATTCGCCGTCGCCGTGTGAATAAGGTTACTGGAAGCACAATTCTTTCTTCCCCAATCCTAAAGTCTCCAAATCTCTAATCTCCAAAATGTCGACAAGGCACTTGTAACTCCTCCGTTGCGATTGTCCATGGGCGGCGTTGATTGCTTACCATCAGGTAATCCTATGTATAATAAATTATATTATTAAAGAATTGACACACTTTATAGGCTCATCATTATAAGGAACTAGCGGACATATAATACATAACTTAAAAATTATACAAAAATTTGTTAACGGCGATTTTTGTTAAATGTTAATTTGTGACACTTTTACTTCAGACAGCTAAGCCTGTGAACTAGTGTGAACGAAGATCAAAGGTTTGGTTTGAAATGCTAACTAAAGCATAAATTTATCAAACCCCAAGCGAAATTTATTTTGAAGAAAGATGTCCTATAAAAGGTTAGTTAAAATTTTATTTGTAATTTGTCAATTGAAGGCAATGAGCGTGGGAGAGCCACGCTTTGGCACGAATGGGTCGGCCCGACCGGAGTGATACCACGGCCTCACAGAAAACCGGCGTGAAACAACCACAGCGTTGTGTTTCGCCGTGTGAGTGAGATTACCGGAGGCCCAATCCTTGCCCTCCTCCAATCCCTCCTCAATCCCTAAATCTCCCAATCCCTAATCCCTAAAAGGCCGGCAACGCACTCGTAACTCCTCCGTTGCGGGTGTCCATGGGCGGCGCTCTCTGGTCGAGCTTCTCTCACACTCAGTTATTCCCACGGAGTAAGAACAAAGGTTATTCCTACCAAACCTACCAAGGGTAAAATTGTCTGCTATCAACCCACACTTACTGCATGGCTTAGGTAAATATTACTTTAGCTTTAAATTAAGGAAGTGGTACCTATATGTATAGGTACCTATACATATAGGTACCACTTCCGACAAATAATTCAGACAAAAAGTGAAAACGACATTTTTAATAAAATAGTCAAGTTTTTTTATTATTATTATTATTACACGAACTAGAACTTTTTTCGAAATTCCAACTTGAAGTGGAATTATTCAACTTTCTTATTATGTGCATTATAAATAAAACTAGTTTGCGAATTATAAGGCAAAAACTTTAAAAGTAAAAGTGGTTTTTATAATGTTTTAACTTGCGCATATGTATTATAGTGTATATATGTAAGTATATAGGTAGAAGCGGGTGAATGAACTTTATAATTTAAAGAAACAGCTTTTCAATGTAATTATTTTACTTTATTCCAATTTACGTTCACGATAGTTCCAATATAGCTGATAGAAAGAGAGATCGGAGGCAATAACCAAGCTTGTCTTCCTATATCGCATATACATATCTCCAAGGATACTTTTATCCTAGCTTTAACCCGTGACTTTGTCCGCGTAAGCCGTCGCTCATCATTACATAATATTTATAAAACAAAGTCACTTGTTCTGTCCCTTTATCTCTCCTCCTAAAAGATTTATGCATGCTTAAATCTTTTAAACTACACAACGGATTTTGATGCGGTTTTTTCCTTAGGTAGCTTTTTTTTAATTGAGGAGGAGGAGTCAGCATAATCGCCATGTGCTCTTGACTTAGTACTCCAAATTGGAGCATGTATTCTTTGTTATTTATTATTGTTGAAAGAAGTAAGTGTGGGAGAGCCAAGATTTGGCACGAATGGGTCATTGAATTTGAAATGGTGTGAGTGAGGTTACTGGAGGCCCAATCCTTTTCTTTCCCCTATCCCTGCCTGATCCTTATATCCGCTCCGCAACCCCTATCTCCAAAAGGCCGGCAACGCACTCGTAACATCTTTGGTGTTGCGAGTGTTTTTGGGCGGCGCCGATTGCTTGCCATCAGGTAATCCGTCTGCTCGTTTGCAGACTTATACCATAAAAAAAGTCTAGTGAAAAACAATTTGAAAAGCGGGGAAGGATTAACGTATCCATTCTCATTTCGTACTTTAAAGATTAAATTATTTTATTTCATTAGACGTTATAGAGTAAGTTTTCAACGTGAATGAAAAGTAAGAGTGAATGATAATGATATGTATACGTAAGAGTACTTAAACACAAAGTATTTGTATGTATGTATGTATATTGTAAAGGTACTATATTTAATGAAACCAAAGATTCGCGAAGGAAATCAGAACGTGGAGGTTATTATTCCATTGAGAGTGAATAACTGTGATGAAAGAAAGTGTTGAGCACAGTTGATTTGGATGTGGTACTTTTATGATAGGGACCATTAAACCTTTTCAGGCAGCGGTATCAAACCATTTGAATTCATCCTTAGTTTTTGACTTAGAAGATAAAAAACAAGAAAAGGCATGCATACGATCCAACTCAGAATACTGCTCCTTCTGGAAGTTGGTTAAAAAAGAGAAAATAATAGAAGTAGAAAAGCATCGATCACTAATAAAGAACTAGAAAAGCAACAAACGCACGAATTTGTATAACAATTGAATGTAGGCACAATTGTATTCAATTAATGTTATTTAACATATAAATCTTCCTCTAGAATCACTCTAGCATCTTTAAAAAAAATCTAATACAGGATCAAACTCCGTTCTGTAGTTTAAAATATTTAAGTGATTTAAGCACACATATGGACATAGAGACAGAGAAAGCGACTTTGTTTTATACTATGTACTGATATGTAAAAACTTATCAGAAATTATATATTCATCATTTTATTAAACGGTTTTGTGTTTTGTTAATATTATCATAATTCATTCCCTTTAGGGCTTTATATTCACTTTAACAAATTTATAATTAAAAAAATTTTTGTCATGTAGTTTGTTTTTGTTTGTAATTTAATTTAATTATTTAATTTAATTAAAGTTTAACATTATTATTATTATTATTTTTTGATAAATTTGATTCTATTGTAAGTAAAAATTTTATACCGCATCCAAAAAAGCTCTCCACAACCCACTTCCATGCGCAAACGCACGTGTTACGAATGGGCGTCGTCACGCAAAATATCGATACGTCGACGATTCGCTTCACTATAATAAAACTTTCGTCGACATCGATACTCGATGGTTATGCAATGAAGTCTTGTAGAGGTGTAATTTAAAAGTAGGAAAGTGTGATGAGCTTGGCTTCCACTCACGAATTTTCGGTACATATTCGTGCGTTTAATTGTAGTTGTACTTATGCGTAAACTAGTGTGTACTGCCGTGTTTTTAGCCTAGATAGGTAGTGGAATAATACTTCTGCTTCTGAAGTACCTATTTATATGAAATCTTGGTGTGACAGGTTAATATTTTCTACTGGGTTTTTTTAGGTAGCTAAACGAGCAGACGTGTTCTGATGGTAAGTAATCGGCAGCCGCAATATCTGAGGAGTTAGAAATGCACTGCTTGTCTTTTTGGTAGGTCTTTGAGATTTGGGGATGAAAGGAAGAGAATACCGTAGTAAGTTTCACGTCTGCATTTTAAAGGGCCGGAGTGTGAGCCGGCCCATTAACACTTTTATTGATTTTAAGATATTTTTATTGTGATTCATTCAAAGGCTTAGTTAATTGCCACGTTCGTAACGTATTTCTTACTGTATTGCCATTGATACTTTGAATTGATGTCTGCAGCATAGAGATACTACATGTTTAGAAATAATTTTTCACTTAATAGGCGGATATTATAGAGTCTATTTTTTAAGAAGTATAATAAGAACCTGTGCTGGAAATATATCAATCTTTATTTTTTACTTTACATACCTATATACATAGGTATGTAAAGTGATGTTGATCTGGGAAGGTAACTCGACTTAACAGTAATTTTTTAAGCTTTTGGGACGAGTATCATCGAATAGCTTTTCCACACCCTAGCTTGGGCGAGAGGGAGTGTCAAACTCTTACTGACTAAAAAGAAACCCTGTTTCTTCTACTGCTCCAAGTCTTGCTTCGGCACATTATTCCGCTTACCTATAAAAAATATCTGAGACAGGAATCAATCGTTTTTTTCCTTTGGACATATTTGCGCAACACAAGAACAGACAAAATACTTTAATTACATCATTGTGACAAATTTTCTCTCACGTCTTTTAAAAGCCGTAACTCGAATACATATCATTTGATTATTCGCATAATCGACTTTCGAACACATCGATATTGCCTTTAATGAATCGATTTGAATTGCAATCGAATAAAATTGTGGCTAGACATCAGTACCGTTTTATTTCTATTTAAATGTAAAATTTAATCGATGTCTGTGACGTGTTAAATTTATGTACATATCGGTACACACATACCTAAATACATACACAAGATATATAAAAAGGAGTTTGTTTGTCTGAACATGCTAAAATTGTAATTGATCTATACCTACTAATATTATAAAGAGGTGAATTTGATAAGTTTGTATGTAGGAAGGTAGGGGGTAATATTTGGAACCGCTGGTCGGATTGCCAAAATTCTTTCACTGATAGATAGCTACAACGTTCTTGAGGGCTAATATCACGCTACGATCAAATGAAGCTGCGGGTGAAACCGCGTGAGAGTAGCTAGTTGGGTATACTATAATGCAAAATGTTAAGTACGTTATTTATAAATCCTGAAATATTTAATAATATATTTTGGTTGATCTACTGCTGTGACACGCTTTACATATTCAGTTCTTGAACAAAATAATAATAAGAAAAGGCACACGGTGTTTTATAGAAAAGTAAAAACAAAAATCACACATTTGGCCAATGACTAATTCTGTTAAGTATGAAAGTGTTATCATAGATAACAAAATAAGAATATCCCTTATAGACCATAAAAATTTAAAAGCAAATAATATTTTAATTTAATAAAATAAAACAGACAAAGAGCAAATTTCAAATGGCTAAACAATGAATTAACATACCAACAGCAGCAGCTGTGAAGTAATTAAGCAATTAAACGTCGACTTAAAATCGCTCCGAATGATCCAATGCATTTAAACATAGCTAAAAAAGCCATTACGATTACAATAATAGACGGAATCACTGAGGAATTGTGCAATTGATGTGATTTTGTTTTTTATTGTCATTAGCATACGAATGAGAATCGTTTAGAGGATAGTGTCATGGAAGCCATTTTAGTTATTTTTTGGCAGGTGTCGACATTTTCCTCAAAGAGCCAATAGACCGCCACCAACAGGGTCGATGTTTATTTGGGGTTTAAACGTTCATTCTTGTGCTTCAGGCCACGGTACCTTATTGCGGTTGACCCGCGACTCCGGCTAAGCATTGGCCATGTTGCTTAGCCGGCCCGTGGTACATGGTTGCCCTTGTAACCCTGATTGAACAAGGATATTTTTTTTTATGAAAACTTTGCCCCACATTAGGGTTTTACTCCTTAGTCGTGGGTGCGGTTACAAACATACAATTTCACATACACATGACACCCAGACCCGGAACAACCATTTGTGGATCACACAAAGAGTTGTTCCGTCCGGGAATCGGACCCGCGACACGTTGCACGGCAGCCAGTTGCCCAGCCCCGCACCAACCATGCAGTCAAGTTTCCTTAGTAGTTTTCGTATGACACCTGCGAGAAGGAGTAGGCTAGGTAAAAAAAGTAGTGAAAAATGTACTCTTTTTTGCCTATATCTATTTTAATTCTCTGTAAGCAATAAATACTATAACTTTTTGTTTTAATGTACTTGAATATAGTATTTTAATAAGCATTTATCTAAAATTGTACACTTGACGACCCATATTTCAGACTCCTATTATAGCTTCATCCAAAGGTTGTCTGTAAGAGATCGCCTTGTGCGATAAGACCGCCCATTGTACACTCAATGTTTGTAAGCTATCCTTTATAACTATGTGGTGTACAATAAAGTATATAATAAATAAATAAATAAATAACTTGGTACTTTTTGTTTTTTACTATAAAACAAATGCTTTTCACTTTTTCTATAAGATACTTTACATTTTAACGAGAAAATAGTTGGAACCCTTTAAATACTTACTCTAATTAACTAGATGTTCATGCTAATTTATATCTTGTTCATCTCCAGTGACCTCTATGTGCATCGTTAGTGGAGCCATATTGAAGAGTTCAGAAGTACCATTGTGTTAATTGTTTATATTATGTTCATAACTGCACGGTTGGCGCAGTGGTTGGGAAACTAGCTGCCGCGAAACGTGTGGTGTGTCCGGTTCCCGTATGGAACAAATTCTTTAAGTGATCTACAAGTTGTTGTTCCTAGTCTGGGAGTCATAGTATGTGAAATTATATGTTTTAACTCACACATGAAAGACATAGGAGAAAAATTTACTGAAACTTATGCAAAAATTAGTCTACTTGAACCATTAACGTCCTACTCGAGAAAAAACATTTTTTGTTGCTCCTCGAAAGATATTTCAAGAGTAATTGTTGATCCTTTCTATACCTAAAAAGCACGTCGTACGTATATTTATATGCAACTAGCGGCCAGTTCTTGCTTGGTACAGGAATCCAACTACCTCGGTGTCAATTCGCGCACCCCTAAAGAGCCAATAGACCACCACAGACTGGGCCCTATAGGGCTGATGTCCAGGTGGGATTTTTAGTCAGTACCTAAGAGTCTGACACTCCCTCTTGTCTCACCCTGAGTGAGAGTAGCAACTTGACGATTTTCCTGATCCAAAAAAAAAAAAAAGAAATTCGGTGTTCTTTTGTTTTTTTTGTTTGCAAAACGTTACTAAAAGCACCGATAGATTGATTTACTAATTCGTACGAAAATGTAATAGTTAGGGAGCTTGTTACCATACACCGAGAAAAATCTAAAATTTGAGAAACATTCAAAAGTCCAATTGTGTTTTGCACTCTGTTGTTATACTTTCCTCTCGACCAAACAGATGGAGTTGAAATTTTCTTTAGAAGACAAAATTCTAAATTGTTTATGAAACAGTCTAGTTTATATTTTATACATTTCATTTTACAGAAAAAACGCGTTGGGCCTTCTGTTATAATTAAATGTTATATTAGCCATGTTAAAAAAAATGTTCGTTATGCGTTTGTTGTGAAAGTGATCGTGATTCGGTGCGCGTGCGCAAAGCTTGCGCAGTGGTGATATACGGAATTCTGTTTTGACGAATGTTTACAGGCAGACTTGTTGGAGTAGCAATATATTGTTGAGTTTTTAAACCACGTACTCAGCATGTAGAATTAAAATTGTCAACTTTTCTGGAAGATGCCTATGTTCTGCAATGGGGGAAACTATTATCAAAGAAAAGTGGAGCCTGAGCATTCGTGACATTTCCTATCTCAGTATAAGATCTTAGAATGCATAATACAGTATATATTCACCATTCCCCACGTAAATCTACACACCAAACAGGCTCGCATACTTCATTGACTTATCGATTAACTAACTATTCTATTATTTTTGGACGTTTTACCTAGTGATGGTTGACCTTAAATATTTATTTTTTCACTAGCTTTTGCCCGGTACTCCGTTCGCGTGGAATAGTGACGTCATACAGAGTTGGTATAAAAACTATCCTATGACCTTTCTCGAGTTCCAAACTATGTATGTACCTAATTTCACAAAAATCGGTTCAGAAGTTTAGGCGTGAAGAAAAGACAGACAGACAGACAAACTAAGTTACTTTTGCATTTATAATATTAGTTTGGATTTTAAATTTGACACCAAACAATCTCAATTAAGTAGGCTACAGTCCCAAATAACCTGCAACGCTATTCACCAACCACGTAGCCCAAAATCTATATACATAAAGCAGACTGTTTCGCTCAGCTACGCCCCATTTCCGTTTTTTTTTTTTTTGTTTTTTTTTGTGAGGGGAAAATCATCAAATGACTTCCCCCGCCCAGAGCCGGGCGAGAGGGAGTGTCAGACTCTTATTGACTAAAAACCCCCCCTGTTCCTCATTGCGCTTACCCCGCAACCCCAGCTGAACATCAGCCCTATAGGGCCCCGTCTGTGGTGGCCTATCGGCTCCTTGAGGCGCGCGCGGAACGCTACGCACCGTACGCTCGGGCCTGGTTCTCTTACTCGCCGACCGCAGACCCGGGTTACGGTGGCCGAAGATCGTTCCTTGATCCCCAACGCCCGTAGTGTCGCCAGTTGCGGCGGCTGGGGCGTGAAAAGGAGGATTGCTTCCTCACGCGGGCCGCCTTTCTCTTCTCCGTGAAGCCGCAGTTTTATCACGGAACTAGCTCGACCATATATCAGTCCGTGTATTCTACACACAGATCTCGTGACCGTCACACTATACATTATTTCACATGGTCAGCATTACATAACTAATAATACGATGATTGAACATTTTCGGTCATTCCACGTGAGGCACTTCCGACTCTTACTTGCTACGGAAATCCTTGTTAAGTAGCCTGAATTTAATTATTGATTTTAGTTATTTTAAGTAGCTCGTAAGAAGGCACTTTGGGTGGTCTTTTAAGACTAGTAACATTTTTTTAAGTACAACCCTGAACGTACTAAAATTACAGTTAATCTGAAAATAATAGCTAAATCTAACCCGAAGTAAAAGGCAAATATCTATTATATTTTGCCTTTCCTTATTAACCCTGCCTTTGATTATTAATAGTAGGTATCTGTTATTCACGTAACTAATACATACATAAATACACATTTGCCTTTGAAAAAGCGCGATTTCCTTCATTCCCTAATTGTTGATAACAGCACCATCTATTAAAGATACACAGAACTAATAGCGACCAAACACTGAATAAGACCATACCAGATAATTCCCCTTTCACATTTCATTAAAGAGAGAAAGAAAGTCAATGCGTATGGTGAATGTGTGAACTTTCCATCTAAATGATTTTTGAAGCTCGCGGTAGTGAAATGTCACGGGGACTTTCTACTAGATGGCGCTGTACAAGGTCATTGCTATCTCAAAGAAAGTAGTTGAGTCTTTCTAAGTTTTGTTAACTTCATATTGCATTCGATTTTTTACTGAGCATAAAGGTAAATGAAGCAGTAGGATAACAGACTGTAGTTTAAAGTTGCTAGAGGAAAAGGCAGAATTAAAAATATAAAACGTTTTAAAAATACACACATTTTCAATGTGACTGTAATTTTGAAAAACTGCAGAAGAGAAAAAACTGAATGAGTTTACATATCCCTTAACATTAAACTTGCATATATATCATAAAATAGGCACTGGCAGTGGTCCGGGATTCCGGGACAAGCGCAATAAGGCACCGCAGCCTTGGCCTAGAGCAGAAGATGGAACGGGTAGGGTTCCAGTTCTAGTCCGTTAGGGTCTGACACTTTCGCCTATCGGGGTGAGAGGAGTCATTTGATGATTTCCCCGCACAAAAGAAGGGCAGTATTTTAATAAAATTCAATTATGAAATATTGAAAATGATATCTATAAAATTAGTTTCACTTTTCACTCACACACGCAATACCATATCACGTCACAAAAGGATATAAGAATGACACTCCATATTAATTAGTTTGTCGTTTCCGTGTACTGAACACATAAATATTAATATACGCACAAATTAAGTAGGTACCACCGAAAGTGCAACTCTTCCTTATTAGCAATATGATAATTATGAATATTTAAATTTGTTGTATTATGTCATAGTGCCGTGTAACTACTTACTTTTTTCGGATTCGTGACTTATTTTTTAAGTACTTTAATACTTTTTATTTTAACTTTTACGCATTCTATTTTTTTTTTTTCAGATTCTTGATCGACCGTGATATTCTTTAGACTAACGAACCTGCCTGTTTGATTTAAATATTAATTCTTAGACTTTATAATGAAGTTATTAAAGTATCTTCAGAATTAAGTTTTAACTCATTATATTTAACAGAAACCCGACAGCAGCTGTGAAGTCGCAATCTCCAATTGTCGTCCTAGGACCTTTCCAGCCCTGAAGAAAGCCGGACCGTCACCGCATTGGTGCCTTTGAGGTGTGGTGCTGGCGAAAAATCCTCCTGAATCTTATTTTACACTTTATTTCATAGCTTTAAAATATCGAACTCGAGAAAATTTAAGACAGAATTACACAAGTGGCTTAGTGAATGCAATTTTAACAAAAAGATTTTATGGATGTGAGATGTTGATTCCTTTTATCAAAATATTTTTTTGCACGCTATGTTATATAGTATCTTAGCGAAACATAAAAACATTATTGTATACCATGTTTTACGCAAATAAATGATTTACTTACTTACTCCTTACGATCCAGCCAAGGCTCTTTTCCATAAACCTCCACAAGAATCGGAATTTCTTAGACACAGTGCCAAAACGACCGATGATGGCTTGGAAAAATTACTGATCACTGTTAAAGTGGAAGGAAAGAGACTTAGAGACAGAACTCCGATACTTTGGACGGATCAGGTTTGTACCACTCTCAACACTTCAATACATCGTATATTGTTCTCCACTCCGCGGCAGATAAAAATAGATAGAGAATAGTAATACGCAGTACACTCATTCCACGAGGTGGTCCTGGGCGATAGGGAGTCTCAGACCCTTACAGACTAAAAAAAAACATCATTTTCCTTCTCGTGCTTCTCTACAATGCCTTAGTAAATGAATCTCATCTTATCCTACTTTTTACTTATATTATAAATGTAAAAGTTACGATGTCTCGATGTTTGGATGTTTGTTACTCAATCACAACAAAACGGCTGGACGAATCTTGCAGGACGTGGTGGCCGGAGGTTAAGGCGAAACCTTGCAAGTACCAATGTGCCTTCTTCCGATTTATACCTATATGTATCTACTTTCTTTAACTATCTAGACACCACCGACATACGGTGAAAGAAAACATCGTGAGGAAACCTGGGCTTATAATTTCTAATTATATGTTTGAAATCGCCAATCTGCCTAGAGCAAGCGTGGTGATTAATACTCTAAACCTTCTCCGTGTGAGAAGAGGCCTTTGCTCAGCAGTGGGCACTAATAGGCTGATGATGATGATGATGATGATGAATCTGGACAAAATTTAGCACAGGCATACGATACACTTCGGAATAGGACATAGGCTACTTTTTATACACATACCACGCGGGCAAAGCCGTGATCGGAAGCCAGTATCATAATAAAGACAAATTAGCCAACCGAAATTACTTAAGAAACTGACTGTATAATAGTAGTAGCACGTGTCAAACCGTTCATCATGGCGGCCCATCACAACAATAGCGTTGCATTCCCATAGCTTCCCATTGTTACAAAGATATTAACTTTCGATATGATAGGTGAAAACTTTTGATTGAACATCTTATTGGATTATAATTAGTCATCATTACCTATATTAGTGTCGAGTTATTGTGTAATATTTTCTTTGACTAGTTATCACTACATTGTATAAAACAAAGTCGCTTTCTCTGTCCCTATATCGCAATGTATGCTTAAATCTTTTAAGTCTGGGAGAGCCATGCTTTGGCACGAATGGGTCGGCTCGATTGGAGATGATACCGTGGCCTCACAGCAAACAGGCGTGAAACAAACACAGCGTTATGTTTCGCCGAGGGTGAGGTTACTGGAGGCCCAATTTTTACCCTCCTCTGCCCCAATCGCAAAGCTAGCTCTACTAGTTTAAGTCACCGCAGGAGTTTTAGTTATAATCTTACCGCATACTAATTAATGTTTAGCTTTTTTGTATTATGTTAACAGTAACTAAGGTATAAATATATTTATACAACTTCACTAACTTAGGACGTGTTTCATTAATTTTACTAAAGGGGTCTGAATAGACCCAAGTTACCATTAAAATTTGAATATAGAACAAATTTATATGAACTACGTGACTCAAAACTTTATCAGGAACTTATGTAACGGTAATAAAACATTTTTTCACACAATAATACGTCTAGTCGTGGTGGCCCTGAGGTTAAAGCACCCGCTTCACATGCATGAGGGTGTAGGTTATATGTACTTTCTATGATTATTTAGACACCACTAACATACGGTAAAGGAAAACATCATGAGGAAACTTGGACATATAATTTCTAATTATAAGCTTGAAATCACCAACCCGCATTGACCAAGCATGGTGATTAATGCTCAAACCTTCTCAGTGTTCTTTGTTTTTCTTTGTTCTTCTCAGTGTGAGAAGAGGCCTTTGCTCAGCAGTGGGTACTTATAGGCTGATGATGATGATGATAATGATGATGAAAACGTCTTCTCTTTGTTAATCTTAAATAACGTTACTAAACGGTACTAAAAACAAACACCAAGTCTCCGCTGCATCTGACGCACACACTTTTGATTGACAGCAACCAGTTTTATCAAAACCACTCAAGCGAATTGAACTGGCAATTTGTCACTCAATTTGTAGATCAAACTCAACCGATCTAATAACTGAAACAAGTGTTGAACTAAAAACCTTTCAACTGAACAGGTATGCATAAATTTGTGTGGGAATTTATAGATGATTCAGTTTTATATTTGGTTTCATTATTATTCATTCAATTGTAACAAAGGATTGCGTTATACGCTAATACGTATTGCTAATTTGACTGTGTGAGACCCATGCTTCGGCACGAATGAGTCGGCTTGGCCAGAGTGATACCACGGCCTCACAGATAACTGGCGTGATACAACCACAGCGTTGTTTTTCGCCGTGTAAGTGAGCTTACCGGGTGTCCTATTGTTTATCTCCCTCAATCTTCTAAATCTAAATAATAGTCTCTGTCTCGTTTGCCGTCGTATCATATGAAAAAGCTTTCTTAATTGAAAGAAAAAACATTCACTGTATTAGTTTCAGAAAAACTCCAAGACTTCGTTTTTGGTCTTGTATTTGAAGAGAACACTTTAAAAAATCACTGTCATCATCTTTATCATTATGAGCGCGACGACTCCAAAACAAAGCAGACCACTTTAATTTTTCACTTGAAAAGACCTCATGTTACTATCCTCCACCGCAACCTGTGTTTTTGATGGGGTTCGTCGGTTTTCTTAACAAGGAATCTTCCTGTATTACTTCTTTCAGTGCATGTTCGTCACAAACAACAATTTTGAGTAGTTCTGTTTCCACCTTATCACATACAAAAACATTAAAGAACATAATGATGAATACCCAAGTGTATGCAGAACAGGTTTCCAGCAAACAACGCCGAATTGAGGTCCAAATGTAGTACAAATAGTATGGTCTTTATTTATAGGTCATCATGCCCTAAGTCGCCCTGTGACCTCGTGTTTCGAAAGCGAACTATGCAAAGAATTCTATTAAACTATGAAAGCGGAGGTGTGGAAGAAATCGAAAGTTCCGATATCTGTGATGTCGTACACG